TCAGGATGCAGACAAAGACGCTCGTTCTTTTCCATAAGCATAGGTGCTTTTAAAGCAGTTATACTCCTTCCATTCATGGGATCCCGATTGCACCGTCGGTTTTATTTCATTTTTCAACCTGCAACTGTAAGAACTTCATTTCAGATTGAAAATGCTGCAAGAGGAACTCACTGAAACTACGGTAGGTATTATCAATTTCCATTTACTTCTAAGGCGGATGTCAGACTTTGCGAATCCAGCGAGCGGACGCTGGAACGGTATCTCGCTCCATCCGCTGGTCCCGATTCGCTGGTGCAACACTCGTATCCAGCTATATTCGCAAAGAGTGACATCGTCCATATTCCCGACACATGCAGGCGGTCGCGTGCAACCTCGTGTCGCTCTTGTTGTACTTTGCACGTGGAGCAAGGGATGGGCTAAAGGTCAGGTAATGAAGTAGTAACTCATGATTTCTCGTGACAGCGCCGTTCACCCATGCCCTTGGAACTGCCCTCGCCAGGTGCCCGGTCACGCGATACACAACCGGGCAACGGTCGCGGTGGTTTAATCTTTCGGCTATCAGTGCGACACAAACCACTCCCAGCACCACCATGAACGCTTTTGAGACAGGAGCGAAGGTCAACGGCCAAATCGTGCACGAATAACCTAGAGATCAATAACGCCGAAGAGTGACGAGAAAGTTTGGCAACGGCCCAACAAGCTCTTTATTTAGGATCATGATCCCCACTGTCCACTATGTCGAAGCTAGAAAAACGGGGTTAATACTTTGACGACAATGCGGATTTGCACGTAGCTTGCTCATGGGACCACACCCTCTTTTGGCGCGCCCAACTCTCGCTCACAATTGGGCAAAATTGTCCCTCAAAGCAGTTTTTCTATAGAATTTTTGACTTTAAGTATACCAGATATAACTGCAGTTCTAGGCTTTCATACTGTATATTGTTTTCAAGAGAATTCCAAATTTGGAAGGGAACTCGGGTTTTAAATGGGAAGGAGGGCAAAACCCGAAGATTGAAGTGTCCAGTTAAGTGTTTTCGTTAAAATTCAACCCGTTCCCCTATTTGAGGGCTATGAGAATCCGAAGAAGTCCTGGGACGGACGCGATTTTGTGGGCGCCGCCGCCTAACTCCATCCGCAGATTTTGTACTGTAAATGAACAAAAACATGAATGTCACAAAATTTCTGCAATGTCCAATGCGTAAAGATTATCTAAACATATAACAGTAGGATTTCGATCAGAACGACAAATAGTGGTTACGAAAAGAGAGCATTTATTCACTTTCCCCGTGAAGGAATTTGAAAAGCATTTTACATTCGAGATTTGCCCACCTATCTCTACATTCCTAGCGTCATTCCTATCTTCCATTCTTAGCGCCTGGCAAGCGATTATCAGCTGGCAGCCCATATGGGCTGCCATCGTCCCAGGAGCACATGCTGTTGGCAGCCCATATGGGCGGCCATCGGCGTGAATGTGTTAATTTATCTTCTGCATAATAATTCAAAACCCCAATTAATATCTGGCGAGCTCAAATCTAAATGGCACATTCTAAATTCTATATAAATTAGCTCTTAATAAACATTTCTGTAAGTCGTGCTAGCATAGATATTATGGAACTTGCTTATAATTATTGGGGTGTTACAAATGTTTTAAATGCACAAAGAAGGAAATTTTAAGGTGGCACCCACCATTGGGTGCCATTGTCCCACGCGGCGAACATAGTGGCACCCACCGGTGGGTGCTAATGTCAGGTGGGTCAATCAGTGAAGGAAGTGAAAAGAACAACGATGATATGAACAAAGTAATTTCCGAGAAACAACTAAAAGAATCATGAGGGCGTAGAAGGGAAAAACCAAGGAAAAGGACACAAGATCGAACAAAGCCTATCACGAGTTCCTACTGAATAATATTCTTAAAAAAAGAAAGAATTTTTTTAGATCGAAATATAGCCATATTTTTAAAAAAATTTTACCCAGGCAATCGGTTTCCTAACTGTTTTATTGCAGACTGAGGACAAACTTCGTCGGTTGACGTCGTTTTTCACAAGCAAAAGTTTTGAGGACATTGACATGTCGTTCAATCTCCATGACGATATCAACGTGGATCGCGACTATTTCCTCGAAATGATGGCCGGAGCCCTCCACTCACACACCACTTTGGAGTGAGCGCTTTAGTTTGAATACCTTAACAAGCACCATTTGAGAATCTATTTGTAGATCGACACTGACGCCACCGCGTTGGAGGGCTTCTCGACTTTGCAAGACATTAACAATTACATATCAAAGCCGGCAATAACGGAAGATATAGGCATCGGCTCGAGCCTTGTCTTCGTTTGATTGTGATTTTAATAGCATCGTGAGATAAAGTTTGTTTAATTTGTGAGCTGCGATCATCAGCTTGAATCCACTGTTTGAGCTGACATGTAAGGAACACTCGAAGACGAGAAAAATTCAAAGGCCACAAGGCAGATACGCTTCGAGTAATGAAGAATCTGAAGTTATTGAGGAATACCCTAAAATCCCATAGATAAGAGCGGTCCATAGATATTTTTTCAAAAATAAAATAAAAATAAAAATATTTTTTCAAAATCATTTTTTACCGGTAAATTAAACCGCTCTTATCTATGGAATTTTACTGATCGAATGGGCTCTTCAAGTTCTATCCAGAGATCAAATTCCGGCATTTCTAGAGAGATTCCGGCAGAAATTCCGTTAAAATCGCTATTTTTCTATATGAATTGTTTATTAAGTGGGCGGGGTTTAGAGTTGAGGGACGGAGCTTCTTCTAAACTTCTTCTCCGATTTTTATTTATCCATCCATCAAGTTAGAGGGGTGACTGCATTCAATTTCAATTTCATTCCAATTCATTTTTCACCGGTAAATTAAACCGCTCTTATCTATGGGATTTTAGGGTAATTCGCAAATGTTTGAACGGTACTCCATTTCCCAAATCCTCTTTCCAACACGAAATATCGCTTACAAACGTTCTTGCGACATTGGATTGTAGTTTCAACACCTTTCTGAGATAAAGTTTTCGTCGACACAAGACTAACTCTTCTCCGCCGTTAGCCTGTGTAATAGAGGCGTTCGATAAAATCTGCCTAGTCCGTAATTTTCTCGCGTCTGCTATGATTAGTGGCCTAGTTTTTGCGCCTACATGAATACAAGTCTAATAGCCATCTGCAAACCTCTCACACAGGAGCATTTCGATTCTCTTCTACAAATCCCACCTCCCTAATTTTTTTCTTTCGGAATCTAGTCCCAGGTAATTAACCGAAATGTACGGAGTTGATTCGATGGATCAATAAGTCTTTTTCGAACTCGGCCCAAGCGGTGCCATCAATTTATCTATTAATCTAATTGATTCTTTTCCTAACCCACACAAACCCACAGAAGCGCTCCCAACTCACTTAAAGGCAAACCCGAGATTAGCCCGACTAGTAGGAAGGATACCGCGAGGGAAATTGTAAGGTCCGTACCTACCTAGATCACTCCAGCTTCGTCGCAAAAATGCGCGATTAGGGCGCTAATCCTTACGGGCCTGCAACCATCGACCCCCCTGCAACGCTCCCCATAACGCAGTTGATATGCAGGGGGGGGCAAAAAAAAAACATTTTGCCCATGTCGCACTTCGGCCCTTTTTTCTTCGCAGAGATTGCCGTCGTTGACGGAAGTTCCTCAGCAAAGTATTCCCTAAATGTCCCTCTATAAGTGACGCAGGCCCTCCTTCACTGCCCTCACCGTCTTCAGAATATGACGTCATCTGTCATCCGTCGTCAGCTCAAGGAGGCTACCGTAACTGCTTCAGCCTGAAGCTCTTACAATTTCGTGAATCGATTCAATGTTGGATAGTTTCCTAGAGACATTAGCTCCCACTATGCAAACCCCCTCGAAACTCGCTTTCAGTAAAGGTCGTTATGGTACACGATCCTTCGAAGACCCCATTGAGCTCGACCAGTGCACCATGTTTCCGGGGCAAATTTTTCTGATGCCGTCCACGTAGGTGGCCACTATGAAGATTTTCTTATGAAATGAAATGCGCTCTTCAATTCTAAGTTGGAACCATTCGGTTTGAATTGAGCAAAGTGTGATTAAATCCATCTGAATGTGGAGACAAAATGTCTTTTTTTATTGGCCCCCTGTAGAGATCAACGTGGTTTATCGAATGGCGTGCTCTCTCGCGTGTTTTCCTTTGCCTGTTTGTTTGCCTCGCCATCGTACCACATTTGACATTACTGGAGGTTAAGGTCTTAATAGCGTTTCCGGTGATTTCTGTTGTTTTCCTTTACTTTTCTGTTCATTCCGCAGCTCAGTCATCACTGCGAAGCGCTCTTATGCATTTTATCCCGGAGCATCCCTTTAAAATCCTGCGGCCGCCAGCATATGAAAAAGATCATCTTTGGTTTATTTGCCATTTCAGCCCATTTATACTTAAGCCTTTCCGAGCGCAGAACTCATCATGTATTTGGATACTGATCAAATAAGTGCTAGATTATATTGATTTACTCTATAGAAAAAAAACAGCAACATACTAACCCAAGTGAATAACTTAAAGCAACAGTCCAGGCAGGGTTTCAACTACTTGGTCATTAGGCGGTCAAAACATGCCCCAGCCCAACTAAAGTTTATAGGAAATGTCTTTAATTTCAAAACCTACCTCTAAAATGCGCTGGAAGGGGTCGAAGTCCTCTTGGAGGGGGCGGATCACCTCATA